ACCCCCCCCCCCCCCCTCCCTCCAAAAAACCCAACTGGGATGGCAGTAGCAGAAAGTAAAATACACTCCAGCTCCAACACAGCTAACCATCAGAGACAGAAGCTGCCCAAATCCTTCAATGTAAGTTACTGTAAGTACCTTTAAAGATGTCTCAAAAATTACTTTCTGAGCTCTTCTCACCTTTTCCCCATCCATGAACCTCTGCTTCTCTGTAAGGTTCAGGATTTCCAACGGGACATCTGATTCAGAGCGAGATTCAAATTGTACACCATCATGTGTGGACACCACCCGTGACTTTCGACCAGTCATCTACACAGAGAAACAAGAGAGAAAAATTGAAATCTCACATAAAGCATGCATATGAACGACAAGAGAGTAATTGAGCTCCAATTTTACAGCAAGCCAGTATGCCGACAACCACATTTTGAAAGATGCATCTGATGTGACACATGTATTATTGACAACTTTGTTTTTCCCTTCATACTGATATTTTATGAAAATAATAAAAATTTAAATTCTAGGTAGCATGTGTATTTACCGTTCCTGTACAGCCAAGAAAAATGTTCCACTAGAACAATAAAGTATTATCTTATCTAGCCAGGACAAGAGCTACACCATCGAAAAAGAAGTAGAGGCAGCAAACCATTTTTATAGAATTTTTTTTTGGCTCAACACCTTTCCTGCCCATTAAAGAACACATTTCTGAGTGGATTTTTTTTTAAAAAAACGAATAAATGCTCAAAAAAATCAAGTGGCAATGTTATAATGTGACTCCACAAAATGTTGCTTTCCCTGGTCACTTGACATTGCCACAATGTTGAGCACTCAACCATACTGGACCAGCTGCAACACTTGATTTCTTACCTCTGCAACATTTTCTGGTCCCCCTAATTCGTCAATCAATTGGTCAAGAGTGTTGGGCGGCAACTTCTCTCCCAGGAACTCAATGCGCGACAAAAGTTCCGACTTCATGGCACTCGCTTTCTCCCAGTTTCCTGCATCTGTGATGAAAGCAACAAGATAAAAACAATTCCATTTGTGGACAGTAATAATACAGGTGTTGCTTTTTCCTAACAAATGATATAAAAAGAAAGATCAGCATCAAGAAAAAGGAAGAGGGGAAAAAAAAAGAACTTGCATTTACGTACACCATTTCACAGAAATCTATATACGACATATTATAGAAATGCACAAAATCCCACGCCCATTATTACATCATTTCCAATTCATGACACAGCCACACACAAAAATTATATTGTACAGAGCTCCCAGACTCCACAAGATTTTATACCATCAAATATTTCCACAAATGACAAGACAAGACATCCCGAAGTCGCCCCCCTTTTATTGTTCGTTACATATCCCCCCATGAAGTCATCTACTTTTGTGTCATTCATCGGACATACAACATCCCAGCAGAAGGGATTCAACAGATGTTGGAGTGCACAATACAATATCAACTTACGCCCATCAAGACCATTCGTTGTTGAAGGTTTATTCAACAAACCAGCCTTTGCCAACGCTCGGTCAAACTCGTCATCCTCATTGTCACTCTCTTTGTTCTTCGACTCTTTCTCCTTCTTTTTAACTTTCTTTTTCTTTTTTGGCACCTCCTTCTTTTTCTTCTTCTTCTGACACCATGGATCATCTAGAGCGGAAAACAGAGACCACAAATGTGGATGATTAGTTGTTTATTTGGCAGATCAGTATAACAGCCATAATTCATCAGACAATAAGTAGACAGACAAAAGTAATACCGCATTAAAGCAGAAAGTGTAGACCACACCAAAGCCAACAAATCCTGTGGAGGACAGCAAGATAATAGTTTGTTTTGTTTTAAGGTTTTACGGCGCATGCAACAGTAAGGTCAAACATGTGCCAAAGATTATATGTGTTACAAGTGAGTAACAAAAAAAAAAAAAAAAAAAGGAGATATAAGGATGTTAGCTGTTTGACATGAAAGAAAGAGCAAACCGCACCAGAGTATCTGCCAACCATCCACAATTTTTAGTCAACAGAAAAGTGTCTCACACTTACTAAATACTGTACATGTCCATTTTTCAGATCAACTTGATTCAGCAGAAAAGAAAAATATTGGGACCCTCAAACTCACTTTATAAAACCACCACAATAACATGAATTGCTATAAATCTCAACCCATATTGAGGCAATTATCTCAATAAACATCAGTTCTACATAAAACGATTGATATGCCACCCAGTTTCGGAGATTACCCTCATCGCTGTTCCAGCCATTAGCAAAGGGGTTGTGTTCTTCGCCATCACTGTCAGATGAGTTAGAGGAGGACATGAAGTCAATGCCATCCAGGTCGGAGGAATCAGAGTCGTTGCTCTCTGGATCGCTGCTGTCGTTGTCCATCTTCTGACGCTTGCTGGGAGCCAGGTCATCAGAATCTGGGGAAAAAAAAACAAACCCCAAAACACATTCACATGTGGCAGTTCAAGCCAATAAGAAATCATAGTGTCGTCATAGGTACCGACTCACCATGTAGGAGCAGCAAACAAAAATATCTTTTCACCCACAACTCTCCATACCCTGAAAGAGAAGGGGAAAGACGGGAAAATCATTCCCAGGTACAACACTCTAAATTTACAAATCATTTTGTCGTTAGATCTTGCTTCAAAAATGTCTTTAAATAAACGGGGATCAATTTCTCAATAATTGGCCTGAGGTCAGGCAAAATGTGGACAATTTCAGAAATCAGGACTTCCGGATTTATTCTTAAATTCAACACATCAGCAGTAAACATGAATGCCGTCCTACACAATTTGCAAGCCTAAACAAATCGTGCAAATAAAAACACCTATGACACAAGAACATATACAAACCTCGTTTCCTCTTCCACGGGTCCGGGGAGTCTCTGTTGATGTGGCTGTTGCTGACTTGTTTGATGATGTCCAGGGCCCGCCCACGAGTCGAGGCTGGGAAGTGACGCTCCACCAGCGACTGAAACACTCCCCTGGAAAAGATTGAAAAGAACAGATTGTGGTGAGCGGGTGGCTCACCGTATGGACCTGTGCCCATGATACCTTCATCACTCTGTGCACTGAACACATACCTCAGTAGTCGACCCAAATGGGGTCATTTTCCAGATCAACTTGATTCAGCAGAAAAGAAAAATATTGGGACCCTCAAACTCACTTCATAAAACCACCACAATAACACAAATTGCTCTAAATCTCAACCCAAATTGAGGCAAACATCTCAATAAACATCAATTCTACATAAAACGATTGATATGCCACTCAGGTTCGGAGATTACCCTCATCGCTGTTCCAGCCATTAGCAAAGGGGTTGTGTTCTTCGCCATCACTGCCAGACTTAAATGACCAGGTCAATGAAATAATGATCAACAGTTATCCTGCATATAAGCAGGGTGCCCCTTACCATACTGTAACAACAAGATTGCATCAGTTGACTAGTTTTAGTGTGGTATCAAAGTGGTGGGGGCTAAAATCTCATCTCAAATTCCCAATTACAGAATCCAAGACAGTACAAGTAAAGTTGGCAAGATGGTTACCATGTCCAAAAAATCCAGAGTGTTGAAGAATATAATCATCTGTAACTGACTGAATTATAACATTCTAGAGCACTGACTGAACTATAACATTCTAGAGGCTGACTCACTTGGCCGTGGAGACAAAGTCTGTGAGGTCACCACCAGCTTCCTCCACCTGCTCCATCGTCCTGGCTTCTCCGGTAGATTGCAAACCAATCACCACACACTGGCAAAGACAAACAAACAGCATGAACAGAGATGGCCGCTGCAAACAAGACTTTTGTGAGAAAATGGGAATATTTTTTTAAAAAAGAAGAAAAAAACAACATACCATCAAAGGATGGAAATTCTGGGACAAGAACCAACAAATCATTAAAGGAAATAAAAAAGTACCTCTATCACCCCACACAAATTTCATATGATATCTTAGCTAGATAATTATAATTTTGCGTGTTGTAAACACAGGGCCGCCTACCTCAACTCAAAGTTCCCATTTCAGGTAAATTCAAGGTAAGTTTCAGGTGTTTTGGCCCAAAATCAGGTAAAAAAAAAAAAGATGGTCGTTGCTCCAGTACACAAAGTAACCATCGAACGGGGCTTGCTTTTCCTGATATTGGGCAATTATATTTTGAAAACTTTTTTGTGCTTACACGCGTGTGCGTGATCAAGAAGAGATCAGTCACAAATCATCTGTTGAAGGGTAAATACATATCTACCTCCAAAACTTTACAGCAAAAAAAGGGAGAGCCAACATACCTTTCCAAACTTCACAGCCTCGCGAGCCAAATCGACACAGTGATTAACTTTGGACGAGATACACAAATACTTGAAGAAGCGCTGGTGGGCAGACCAGAATTGGCCCCACATGCTCTTCTTCATGCGGTGCTCCGCTTGAATCAATTCTGCAGCTTGTTGAAACATTTCTCGTGCTTCCACCCACTGAAAGTGAAATAACATATTTTTTTTAAAGAGATAAAGTATATAATTCTTAAATCCAACCTCCCCCCCCCCAACAAAACAGCACAGGTAAATACCAAACAATAAATTACCATGTAATAAGACAATTAAAGAAGAATAAACCACTTCAAATCTCACAAAACTGATATCACGTCTGTGTGTGAAAAATAATCCACTTTATTCAACATTCTAGTGCACAAGGAAATACCAATACATACAATGACAAAAAGAGAAAAATGGACTCAATCATGCCATGTGACTATTGCAATCCTAATCTTGACAGCCAAAACAGAGCACTCGTCTAAAACAGCTGAAATCACGACATGATGTTGAATGAACAATTTCTTTTATTATGTAGAATGAACACGCAATCGACACATCAAGTCTGTACAAAAAAAGCAAGATATGATCATCGCCAACAATTTTACTCTCAAAAGCCCATTGTCTCTTGCCATCTCCTGCGAAAATCATGCCCAGGCTGACAAACAAACCTAAAAAAAAAACCCCACACGCTTGTTCAGAAAAGGTTACAAAAAATTGGAGGATGCCACCCCCCCCCCAGCTATCACATAAAAGCAAAAATAGAGAACACTCACCATTTCAACAGCCAAATTATACACTTTGATGAAGTCCTTTTCCAAGGGGATTTCATCAATTTTGAAAGACACACCGTGAAAGCTGAGCTGTCGAGCAATGTACATCCCTCTCAGTTTGGCATCCATTGCAACAAGCTCCATGGCACCCACTCCCCTGGGAGATAACAAGACACAATCGGTACGGATCATTGTGATTTACGAATGGTATGTGAAAAGACACTGCCTTGGGCATTTTTGAGGAAACTATGAAAAAATCTATTAAGCCGATTTTTCATAAAATGGGACTTAAAAATAACAGGACACATTTGACAGAGCAAATACAAACCCTTTCCTCAAACACAAACTTAGCAACTCAAAACAACCCTTCAAAACCAGGCTTGACCATGAAACACTTAACTTTCCTTCCATATATTTAGCAGTTTGTTGTGCGAGGTGGCCAAGAGGTTATGTTACTTCAAATGTCATCAAAAACACAAACTTGACAACAGTCAACTATAAACCCATCACAACTGCAACAGATCCTGATAGCTCCGAGCCAGGAAGCCACGAAGGGCTGATGAGCCTCACTTACAAAAGGTCACATGACTAGACAAAAATTGACTTCATGAGTGACTTACCTTCTCTCCACAGCCTGAATAAAGTCAGTAAACTCTTTGAAGGGTGTCCCCTGTCCCCAGAGGCCCAGCCGCGTCATGTAGGCCATGTTCCTGGGTTCTGATGCCCCAGTGGCAGACGCGTAGACCACCCGAGCTTTGGGCAAGCGGTTCTGGAGTTCCAGCACAGTCTGGCCTGTCTTCGTGGGCTTGCTGGAACCCGTGGGGCACAGGTTTTTGGCTTTGTGACATTCATCAAACACGATCTGAGAAAGCAGCCGAGTTAAAGAAAACACCACCTCTCTGGTGAAAACCCTTCTCCAACAGAAATATACCCACCATTGGAGAACACACTACAACCCAGACACTGACTTAGATGACAAGACTACAATCACTTCTTTTTTCAGCAGGTCTCCGCAGTGATGCAGGGTAACATACGTTCATAAAATTGTAACCCTCTCTTTGACTTTAACAAAAACTAACAGTTCCTTACTTTTTTTTTGCTGACAAATGTGCACAGCAAATGAAGAAAAATGTAAAAATCTCTCTTCAGAAGGAGAAAAAAAATATCACATATTGGAGCCAGAGTAAGTAAAAAAGAACATCTGCGCTGCCCCACAAAGTCACCAATTTTCACAGAATGTTATCACTGTCGCATATCAGAGGCAAGCAAGAAGCTTCTTGTACACACTGATATTTTTTTAAATTGGTAAAAATAACTTCAGCTGAGGTTTATGACAAAAACGACAAGCAATTTTTAAAAAAGCCTGAAATCACATTTAAAAAGGATACGAGGCCCTCAAAGTCATGCCCGAGCCACTTGAGTAACTGCTTCAGCCTTGTGTTGTACTTCCCCTCCGCTTGACTCTCACCAATCAGAGACGAGTAGGTAGCAAAAATCACTCCTTTCTTGCAACTGTTGTTCTCTTTGCTGCTAATTTTCGCATAATACTTAAACTGAAACGAAAAGAGAGAGAGAGGGGTGGGGACAATGAGCTAGAGAGACAGAAACAAGACAACACATCACTGACTAAATGATACGACTGCGGACGTTTCAAACCAATAATTTATAATGGCCAGCAGTCCCTTACAGTTTGGGGTAGTTTTTTGCCACAAGACATGACAGCTGGTTGACTATGCCAGGTGGCCAATAAAGGCAAACAAAAGAAACACTGGGGGAGCAGAAGGCCACACAGGAGGGCCCATCAACTATCATGTCACAGAAACACTGGGGGAGCAGAAGGCCACACAGGAGGGCCCATCAACTATCATGTCACAGAAACACTGAGGGAGCAGAAGGCCACACAGGAGGGCCCATCAACTATCATGTCACAGAAACACTGAGGGAGCAGAAGGCCACACAGGAGGGCCCATCAACTATCATGTTAAAGAAACACTGAGGGAGCAGAAGGCCACACAGGAGGGCCCATCAACTATCATGTCACAGAAACACTGGGGGAGCAGAAGGCCACACAGGAGGGCCCATCAACTATCATGTCACAGAAACACTGGGGGAGCAGAAGGCCACACAGGAGGGCCCATCAACTATCATGTCACAGAAACACTGGGGGATCTAGTGGCCTAGAGGTTAAGCTGTTCGCCTCCCATTCAAAGGCCCCGGGTTCGAATCCAGGTAGAGCCGGAAAAATTTTCTTCTATAAAATTGTCTCCTTTCACATCTTTTCCTGCTCTCTAGCAATGCTCTGTCGCCTGCTTTCATTTTCACTTTCTACCCCCACCCCTCACCTCCTTTGCCACCTCTGCTGGGCCCCTGACTGTTTCTGCAGCCTTTCTACTGCCAATCCTTGGCTCCTTACAGCAGCCTTTCAACTACACTCCTGGTCTTCTGGCAGGAAAGATCTACACCTAGCCTTCTCGGACAAGGGCAAAAAATCTCAGAATTCCCATGTGCAAGTTGCGCACGTTACAGATCCCTTGGTGGTCTAAAATCAATAAGAGTAGGCTTCAGCCACCACCCGAGCAAAATTCAAAATTTCCTACCAACTGAAAATGTTAAGTGTGTCCTGTGCATGACCTTATGTAGTTGAAAGCACCGTAAAACACTTACCCCCCCCAAAAAACAACAACACACACACACACACAAAACCCAGAAACACTGTTTAAGATCAACATTTCAACAGGAAAGAATTGCCAAACAGTTCTATTACGTCAAACGGGGGGCGGGGGGCGCGCGGCGCAGAGAGCAGACCACGCTAACCACCCAACTAAAAGAAGTAAGAGTAGTACATTGAAAGAGCCAGCAGAAGTATGATGGCTACAAGTAAAAAAAACAAAACATACATAGTTCTCAATCCCCACAATGTGGATCTCAGAACCATATCAACCATGAACAAACCTTGTTCAAAGGGTAAACATCAATATGTCCAGCGCCTATGTCTCTAAGGTCCCTCTCTGCATCCACTCTCAAGTCATTGGAAACACTCAACCTACAACAACAAAACAAAGCACGAACCACTGTATGAAAAAATCTACACACAAACGGAATTTGAATGTGGCATGCAGTGCAGCTGTTAAGGTAAAGGAATACACAGACAATCAACATTATGCAGGAAGAGAAAGCAAAATGTACAAATCTATGCATAAAACACAGAAAAACATAAAGAAATACATATTAAAAGTAACCATAATGGCAAAAGACTAACAGGCAGATGTATTGTATAAAAATAGACACATTTTCAACTACACAAAATTTTATTAGAGCCAGACACATACATTCAGCTCACATCAATAATGTTTTTACAGTTAAAATATAGTTAAAATTTACTATCACCCACTCAATGAAACGCGTACACTTTAGTTCCATAACACGGCTTACAAGGTATGAAGGAACCTGATTCCACACATGGCCTGCACCAACCCACGCTTTACAGAGGCTCTAAATCTAATTAATATTCTGAAATTTTTAGTTTTAGTAGAGGTTTTATGGCGCTCGCAAATACATATGGTTATATGAGCGTCAAGGGGTGGATGTCAACAGAGAAGTCCTTAGAGTGAATCAGACTTACTTTTTTTTCTGCTCACCTCTCTAGCTTCAACAGCACGTAGTCTGCTTCGACTATCAAGGCACCCCGGAAATAGTGGGCCACAAGAGTGTGACAAACATACAAAAGAAGTAGAGGAAAGTGACAATAGTGAGGATTAGGAAAGAAAAAGCAGCAGTTCCCTGTTGTAGATCAGGCACAATTATGAGCGTGACATTGATGAATCAGCCCATTTACAATTCTCCTACGCATGAACGAGAACCCCCCCCCCCCGGGAATGGGCTAAAGACACTTCAGCCAGAGGCACCGCCATTGGGGGGGGGGGTCGTCGTCGTCTGAAATTTGCTTCCAAGTTTTTGTCCTCTTCATCAAAAGCATATCTTATCTTAAAACAGCTGTTCCTCTGATGGTCCTAAGACTAGTAACCACTCACCACAATGCTCTCTTCCTTCGATGCAAGTAATTCTCAAATATCACACCAGCAATGGTCCTCCCTTTCCCTACACCAGCACCATCCCCTGGAAAAAAACAACAGATCAAGTCTCAGCACAGTCATGTCACCTTCCAAATGATGACGGAGCTAATCGCAAACACAGATCATAGCGAAAAATGACAATGTAGCTCAAATCTAATATAAAAAAGACACGTCCCCAGCTTCATTTCACAAGCACCTGAGTCAAGTAAAAGAGCCAACATCTGTGAAATATGTACAACCCACTGGACACTGAGCCCACATGAGAAAAAGCACTGTTGTAACTATTTATCTTATTAAACTGCAATGATGCTTTTAAGTCTTTTCTTTTAACCCTTCATTGCCAAGGGGTGTGCATTTCTACTATCAGCACTAATTTTGCCAACTTCCCCACATCCATGGTAAGGCACAAAGCTAAAAATAAGACAGCACTTCACGACACAACAGGTACATCATAAGGCAACTCGGAAGTTAAATAGAAAGCATCAACTTACAGGTAAGTATCGATTCTTTCTACAATCAAAGAGTCTACATAACAAGAGGGTCCACTCCTCTCTTTGAGACAAATAAAAAAGTGTCCTAAAAATTTGGTGGTGTCCTCTTTGCAAAAGCGCACCCTTTGCGAACAGAGTTACCCTACTTGTGTTTAAAAAATGTCAAAATTCGGCACAACGTTGACAAAAAACCTCTTCCGGAGGAATGGGTGACCGTTTTCTTCATTTAGTTTGACTTTAGAATGAAAGGCGAGAGGTCATTAAAATAAAAAAACCTAATACTCCGCACTGCATGAACCCAAACAGCTGATAAACAGCTGCAGTCGATCTGCGCACAGAAGGAGGTGCTATTCCTATTCTTCTTCTGGAGAAAAGTAAGAGAGCTTCAAAACAGACTGCAGCGCCATCTGAAGCAAAGAGCGAACTTCCAGCGGACACTTTTTTGGCAGAGTGGACCATCTTGTTATGTACTATCTTTGCCACAATTAGCCTGTGACCCCGACCACCTGTAGGACACACTGGCAGACACAAGGACAGTAGTTACCGATGAGATACCCGGCCCTCTCTCCATTTGGCAAGACGGTCGAGTGCCTTTGGCAGGCGTAGGTGATGGACTCGAGCTGCAAGGCGGACAGTTTGCCCCCCTCGTCCACGCACTCGTCCAGGATGCGCAGCTGGTACTTGACGTCTGGCGGCTCCACGCTGGACAGGGAGCTCGTCTCCACCACGGGGTCCGGGTGCTTCTTGCCAAAGTTCACTGGAGGGGGAAATTGTCGGTGCTTTTAAAATTGTGGACACATGCTGCAGTTAAGTAATTTATGGACAATCAGCCAGAAAACAGCCACAATTCACCAGGAAAATCAGAAGAAAACACGCAAAACAAACAGAAGAAAACATCACAGCACATTGCCACAAAAACAGTCATTCAGTGCTTAGTTTTAGTATAAGTAGAGGTTTTACCGCACTCGCAACAGCGTAAGTTCATATGAGCGCCAAGAGGTGGATGTCAACAGAGAAATCCTTACAGGGAATCAGACTTACTCTGCTCACCTCTCTAGCTTAAACAGCACAAAGTCTGCTTCGACTAACAAGGCACCCAGGAAATAGCAAGTCACAAGAGTGTGACAAACATACAAAAGAGGTAGAGGAAAAATGACAATAGTAAGGTTTAGGAAAGACATCTTTATTGAAACATACTCTCAGACCGGGAAAAGCCGAATTAATGTCACAGTTGCGACCGGCAAAAATGAACTTAAAAGACGTTATCGGATTTGGTTTTCAAATATCCGAGAACTTTCATGTATTTTCCCGGGTCTTTCCAAGGGCAAATTACAGACAGATTTCCTCAAATTTCCAGGTCTCTGCGATATTTTTCAAATTCCTGGGTAATTCCCGGGGGCTTGGCAGTCACCCTGTATGTATGTTCAAAGCCTCAGTTTTGGGCTTTTCATATGTCCTCCAGTTTCACAAATTAATTTTCGTGGTACTTAGATAGTGATGTCTACAATTTGTACGTACCCCACCGAAAAAAAGAACAAAATACTGACTTATCTACAACCCCACAGAAAAAAAGCAATAAGGAAAAATCTAAAAACACAGACACACTCATAAAAAAAAAGCTGCTCACATTTGCTCGGCTTATATTCAGCATAGGTTTCAGCGTGCCCCAGCTCTTCAACTTCTTCCTCAATTTCTTCTTCTTCAGGTGGGATCCGATTCAAGCCTCTCTGTAAGTTCTGCGAGAGAATGAAATCACAAAACATGCAATTGAAACACAGGGAAGAGAGTGCAGTGTGTCGCCAGAAGTATGTTTTAACTCAGAAAACTGTAAACAAATGTAATATATATCTTTGCAATATCCCTGGTCATGACACTGTGTTAATCAATATTGCTTTTGCGTATTCCTTTTTCTGACACCCATATTTCAGATGTCACTCATAGAGTGAAAATATATATTTTCTTTGAAACTATACTTGGCTTCTTAAGTCGCCATAGGCCATCTGCCACAAACAGAGTCAGGAAGATACAGTTGTGATAAAAGATGGAAGTAACTGAAGTGCAGTTATACAATTTGGATGATATTGACATGTCAACTACCAGAAGTGGGGGGAGGGGGGGGTTGTTAAATCTTAGTTCTTACAAGGAATCAGGCTTACTCTGCCCACCTCTCTAGCTTCAACAGTACAAAGTCTGCTTCGACTATCAAGGCACTCCGGAAATAGCGGGTCACATTAGTGTGACAAACATACATAAGAAGTGGAGGAAAATGACGATAGTAAGGATTAGGAAAGAAAATGCAGCAGTTCCCTTTTGCAGTTCAGGCACAGTCATGAGCATGACATTGATGAATCAGCCAATTTACAATTCTACTGTGCATAAGAACATGTTAATATCCCCCCTTTGGGAATGGTCTAAAGACACTTCAGCCATTAGCACCCGAGGAGTACAGAAATGTGTGAATAATCATCTCATCAGAAATATGTCAAAGAGTATATTGTACAAAAACCTTGACCCCCTGATCCTTGCAATGAAAGTCAACCTGCCTTGTAGATAACCACATCAAAGATAGACCAGTCTCTAAACAAGGGCCTCAGCACTTAACATGCACTAACACAGATGTCGCCACCTGTGCACTCCTTTAAAATGTCACCCTATAGGCACTTCAGAGGGATCTTGAGCAGGTATGTGAACCATCCTTTTAATGTTTTTTTTATCTCAGGAGAAAACATTACACTGCAATAAACTGCAGGAGAATACTTTCTGCTATATTTTAAAAGAGATTAAAAGAGTAATTATTTGGATACCTGCATTTATACTACTTGCCATTTCAATAAATTTTTTTCTTCTGAAGAACCCACTCATCCGGATTTTCATATATTGCCTTTGTGAATTTATATCAGGAGCCTACTAATTTATGACTTATTCAAAACAAGTTTCTTCTGTCAGTGGCCATTCAGTATTGTGGAAGAAAGGGGTAGGGGTGACGAAAAATTCACCTGGGCACTGTGCACTCTACGCAGAGCATTGTGATCTTTCCACGCTTTGGTGAGGTCTTTGCTCGACATGGACATTTTCACATGGCCAAGATGCGGCTGAGGGAAAAAACCAAACATAATCACCACTGTAAGTATCACTGAATAGACAGAACATGTCTTTGAAGAGCACAATCCCAGGGTTGGCTGTATGCATATACATTTTTACACTGAGCTTGGATAAAAGAAAGATGTCTATCACATGATATCTTGTGAACGAGAGAGTTGTCAAGCCAACTGTGAGAGTCTGACCCATAACAAAGTAAAGATATCTTATATCATCAAGTAAACAAAGAATCGGTTCTGAATGTTCTTTATTAATCTTTTAACATGGTTTACAAGTCAGTTCTGTCCCACTGTCACATTCGGACACTCTTAGTTAAAAGGTTAAAAACTACAGAACAAAATTTCTATTTCTTACGAAATGAATGTCCTACCTGTCAATCTTTCCTTTATGACATGGATAAAAACAGAAGCAAGATGTAAAAACACAAAACATTCCAACAAAAACATAATGCAAAGACAAGTAAGTGTTCTTATGTTGTGGACATGTCGGATAAGGGAAGAAGGAAGAGATATTAAGGTCTGCTGTGACTTGAGCGAGAGAAAAGTTTTTGCACTTCTTTTCTGTGTTACATGTACAGCCAAAGCAGACACAAGAAGTACATCAGTGTCTTCCACTTGCAGAAAAAAACCCCAGAAGTATTTGTGAGGCAGCGTGGTGGAATCAGGCTCTCGTCAAAATAATCAAAGATAAGAAACTTGCATTTTTTCGCAGGTTTATGAATTAGTATCAATTTTTTTGGTTTTTGTGTTCAACACCTTTCATGCCCATTAAAGAACTCATTTTTGTGTGGATTTTTCAGAAAAACATTGATTAAAGGAAAAAAGAATGTAAATTATCAGTTACCACGGACTCTTAAGCTAAGGAAATAACTAATCTTTTGCGCCATTTTCTCACTAATTTTACCTCTGAAAAACAGGTGACCCCCATCTCCTTATTTCGCAAATATCTCGATTTGTATTCGAGGTAAATGGATATTTTTTCCCTCCAAATAAAGACAAGTGAACAAGCTTTAAGATGACACCAATAACTCTACATGCCCAAAAATTGATGAGAGCCTGATTCCACCACGCTGCATCAAATATTACTTACCACATCAGGAATATTGCTCAGGCCCCCCACAGACGAGGGGAGCCCCAGCCCCGACAAGGCCCCCATCTGGCCAAGTTTGTGTGGAAGGCCAGCGCCAGGGGCATAGGTCAGCCTAGAGATCTTTGGATTTGCTGCGGTCGGCTTAGAGACTGTCAGGGGCGAGGACGGCAAGACGGAGCGGGGAGAGGGGGCGGTGACCCGACTGTTGACGATGGGGCGGGGCATGATGAGGGAGGTCATGGCCTTGGGCTGACTGCCCGGGACGGCCATGACAGGAGAGGGGTCAGCCAGTTGAACAGAGACTGGCGCTACTGTTGGGGGCGGGGGCTTGGTAATCAGCTGAATGGTCTGCTGCTGGAAGGAAAACAGGTACAGGTTTATTTCCATTTGTTTCAGTTTTAGTAAGAGTTTTACGGCACTTGCAACACGATAAGGTCAAATAGTGCCGAAGATTAAAGGTGTTACAATAGAGTAACAAACACAACACAAAAAAAGGAGGGGAGATAAAAAAGATAGATGTTTGATAGGAAAGAAAGAGCAAACCACACCAGAGCACCCACCAACCACCCACTTCCATTTGTTTGTAGAGGACAGGACAGGCACATTAACAATAGTATAGCTGCCAAATTTTCAAAACAAAACAAAAATTTACTCTACCGACACCACAGATCAAGATGGTGATTATTAGCCAAGTCATCACATACCTTTCTGCATTCAATAAATCCATGTTCAAAAGCTAAAAACCACAATGGACTTATGGGCTTCATTCTCATAATTACAGTAATTTCCGCCTAAGACCCCACCGCTCACGATCACCCTATTTTAAGAAAACAGAATTTTTCCTATACAAAAGTCACCCTTAAGATCCCACCCTGATTCATGCATTCGGCTTAGATCCCGCATTTCAGATCATAATTTACAGAACAAAAACCGGGACGGGCATAGCCGATTAACCAAGAGTGACAAGTTGAGACCAATGAACTGCCCCTCGCGTCAAAGATCAGCCACTCATGTGAACGTGATCGCAAAAGCGTTGCAAAACTCTATACCTCTATTCCCGAATTTGCGAGACAAACTGAATTTTAATTGGAGTGGCCACAACGTAATGAGGTGTAACAACAAAGGCGGGGGAACTTCGTGAGAGACGGGAAGCTATAAAATTACATTTTGGACAGGTAAAGGGGAGGAGCAACTGTATATGGCATGCCTTGTGCCACTATGATTGCTCATCAAAGTTGACCGCTCTTTGCTCACCACATGTCATAAGCCCACCCAGGGGTGACGTCAGTTCATTTTAGAGTGGAGAAAGACTATGTCACTGGTTGTGAGCCTTTACATGGGTCAGAGTAGATTTTTCCCTGCGTTCGTCGGCTAATAGGAGGAGACTACTCTATTTGCAAATCTCTTGTTTAAAATGTATAATTTTTCTTCAGCATTGGCAAGTCTGTGATAGAAAACAGAATTTTAAAAAAATATATTTACAGGCACAAAAATGGACCAAGTACTCATACAATTGTATTAAATATATTTATTTACATACTGCTTTGCAACAGTCCTAATTTACAGTCAGAAACGGTAAAGAACAGCTACTACGATTAAATATAAAATTAACACTTAAAAAAAAAAAAAGGAACAAGTTCAAAATTTTAATGAGAAAAACAACTTCTCACCTTTGAATCTCCTGCAAAGTTTGGACCTGAGTTGACGATTATTTTCGCCCCACTCTTCAGCTTGGGCAGTGAGCTGACAATTTTGGTGATGTCTTCAGTAGTGACAGGCTTGCCAGACCGCGAGGTGACCCGCACCACTTGACCATTGTCCCCAGGCTGCTGAATGATCACTTGCTGTAAGATCAAGGGGAGGGGAATCATCTCCTTTTCTTATTTCATATTTATCCTAAAACAAAAACAAACAAAAAAACCCCCCCAAAGAAAACCAACGCCTCACTTAAACAAGAAGTCTGCTAATGAGGATATGCGTAACTTCTAGTTTTTCATATACACATCAATTTAATGGCAACAAACAAAGAGGAAGCAAGAAATAGCTTTTGTCGAATAGATCACCATCTATAACAAGGCAGGCAAATGTAACAATGATAATAACAATGAAAAACTATTTTTAAACAACACATTTTGAGGGGGTTAAACTAAATTGAACACCATATATATGGCCTGAGAACGAACCTGTCCTTGCCCTAAACCATTCCCCAAGGAAGAAGCTGGAATACGTATGATGTTTTTCACTCCTCGACTTTCCTGGCCAGAAGAAGTAGAGGGAACACTGGTCAAGGCATGGGTTGAGATCACCTGAAGCAGGGAAAGAAATTGAAATTGTTATCAAAAGTAAAGCAAAACAAAAAAAAAAACAACAATTCCAGCTGAACACTAATTAAAGACGTGTATTTTGTATGTCCAGCCACTCACACAGCTAAGACAGTCAAAAGTACCACAGCTACTGAAAGATTTCTTCTCTCCACAGGGACCCTTTTAGCCACACTCATCTTGTTTTACTTTAGGTAGTACTAGCAACACAAATAGATCACAATATGCCAAAGATTAGAGATGTTACTAGACAGTAACATACAGATAGAGTAAAGAAAGAGCAAACCACACTCATACCTAGGCTGATTACACAGACAAGAAGTTTTGCAAAAGTAAACATGGAGCCCAATTTTCCTTCTGTATTTCTCTGCTTGTCATAAAGAAATAAGATGTATAAAACCACAGTGCAAGATCCTTTGAAACAATAACACCAAAATTAAAAAGAGAACAATGACAAAGAATTAAGCCCCCGCCTGGTTGGTTACTTCTAAATGTGTGCACAATACACACCAAACTAAATGGCAAATATGGTAACATATGAACCAGGTTTTCCATTCCAAAGGCCCCTGACACCAAACAATCATCTCACACTTCTCACACCTTAAAAGACATCGGTATTATGTTTTAGAAATTTTTTTACAGCCCTTGCAACACAATAAGGTCTGTCAAGAGCTGAAGATTAGCGGTTTTACAAGAGAGTAACAAAAACAAAAAAGGAGGTGAGAAGAACGATAGATGTTTAATGTTTTAAAAAGGGTTTTGAAGAGGTTTTACAGCGATCGCAACTGCCTAAGGTCATATGAGCGCCAAGGGGTGGATGTCAACAGAAAAGTCCTTACAGGGAATCAGGCTTACTCTGCTTACTTCTCTGGCTTCAACAGCACAAAGTCTGCTTTGACTATCAAGGCATCCCGAAAATAGTGGGTCACAAGAGTGTGACAAAAATAAAAGAATTAGAGGAGAAATGACGATAGTAAGTTAGGAAAAAAAAGCAGCAATTCCCTGTTGCAGTTCAGGCAGTTCTGAGCATGACATTGATGAATCAATCAGCCTATTTACAATTCTACTGTGCATAAGAGCACGTTAATGTCAACCCTTGGAATGGCCTAAAGACACTTCAGTCAGTAGCACCGCCCCGGGGAGTATGATAGCAAAGAAAGAGCAAACCACACCAGAGCACCTGCCAACCAAGTTCATTTTAAGCTCACCTCAATTGCTTTAAACATGTCAAGAAGTACTAGGTGTGAAAAAATAGGAGCACAAGGAATGAATTAGCCAACAATCATTGGATTTAATTAGGACTAGAAGACAGCTGAAGGCAGAAGCGAATGCAAGTAGAACAAGACGAACAAGAGCGGATGCATTGAAGCAGTACAGGACAACAGCTAAGGATGTCAAGAAATCAATAAGAAAAGGACAAGGAGGAATTCATGAACAGGCTGGCAGAGAAAGCAGTGGTAGGAGGGCACATGCGAATCCTTTACCAGACAACATAGGCTCTTGCTGGAAAATATGGGAAACCTGAAGTACCAATAAAGGACCAAGAGGGGAAGACCATTTTTGGAAAGGAAGTTCAGTCCAAACGATGGGTAGAGTATTTCAACAGTCTCCCGAACAGACCACCACCGAGTAACCCACCAAACATCCTGCCAGCAAGAAATGAGTTACCAAGTCGCTGTGATGCTCCACCGGGAAAAAAATATTTTACATGCTATTAAGAAGCGCCCAGTCCTGATCACGTTCCACCAGAGGCTCTAAAAGCAGATGCCAATGTGACAGCAGACCTCCTCCTCCCACTGTTTACCAGGATCTGGAATGAGAGCAAGTTCCCGAAGGATTGGATAGAAGGACACCCCGTGAAGCTTCCAAAAAAGGAGGACCTCAGCAACTGCAGCAACGACAGAAGGATCACCCTTCTCTCAACACCAGGTAAGGTCTTCAACAGAATCATTCTGGAGAGAATCAAGTCTGCAATGGACCCAAGACTACGGAATGAACAGGCTGGCTTCCGAAAAAATCGCTCAACCACAGAACAGATTGCCATGCTGAAGATAATTGAGGAACAGTCCCTGGCATGGAACTCCCAGCTGATTGTCAACTTCCTTGACCATGAGAAGGCCCTTGACAGCATAGCCGAGCAACACTATGGAAGATAATGAGACACCGCAAAATCCCACAGAAGTTGGTGAACCTCATCAAGAGCATGTTACGAAGGGACAAGTTGCAGGGTTGTACATGATGGCCAGCTCACTGATAGGAAAGAAGGACCAGACCACCCGCCCACCCCGAACCAAGATGAGTTTTACACGCTTTTATATTAATAAATCATTTTCCTAGAAACAAGGACCAACACATTATCACAAGAGAACAGCAAAAGTACAGAGCATCTGGCATTTCCAAGCAATTACTGTAACCAGCAATGGTTACAACATTATATGATCTATCATCAGAGGTCATTATAAAGTGTAGACCAATATAATAGCACAAAAACGCGATTGTCTAATCTGACAACCCAACAGTGCCCACTGCTCACTCACACGCGCGATCATATGACCATACGCAATTGAGAGTACAACAATATATTGAACCCCCCCCCCCAATAATAAATAAATAAAAAACACTCTTCACTTCAAATAGACACACCAACCCTACCTGAGGCATCCCCGGCTGCGACACTGCTTGAACCAGGTGCCGCGGAATGGGTTGGCTGCGAAGCTGACCCTGTGTCGAGGAAGGCTGGACCACCACACTGGACTGAGTCCGTACAGCAGGTGCAGGACCGCGGATAATCCTGAACGACTGCACCCCCTGAGGGGAAGACGTCGACTGAGATGACACCGCATGAAGCCTGACAGTCTGAGGTTGCGGGCCTCTCACGCCAGAGGACACCACTGTGGCATTTATGAGCCCGCCCGGCTGAGCTCGCAGATGCGGTGGATTGATAATTGTCATTTTTTGACTGGCAGCAGGCACTGTCTGTGTGAGTAATAGCTGCTGTTGCTGTTGAGCTTGATTGGCCAGCTTGCGCATAACATTGGCCGAGCTGCTTGTGTTGTGTACTGTGGGCTGTTGGGGAATTTGGGACAGGACTTGAGAGGCAGGCTGGGAAATGTATGCAGGAGACTGAAACAAAACATAAATGTTAATGTAGTAGCAAATTCAAATCACATGCTGTCCTGCTCATTCACAGAACACCAGATGCACGACAGGCATGCGAGTAGTGAAAAATTCAAGAAACAATACAATTTGAACCCTGCCAATCTCATGATAATAGCAAAAATGTGCATTTGGCGTTTATACAGAATTCCTACTCAAAAGTAAATCTTACAACACTTTATTACACATTTTATTATAACAGACAGACCATAAACGATTCTTTGACATTTTTAACTTTGCTGGAAGCACTTGCACAAAGTTCCCATTTCATAAATGCTTCTACACTGACACACTCACTGATTTCGATGGACATGGGACAAGTACAATTTGATAACCAAACCTCTAAACCATGCTCTCACACCAGGCTTCCTCGTCTGCCAAAAAAATATTGATGGTGAAATCTTTGCTTTCTTTCATTACAAAAATGAACGAGTTTGCAGAACTCAGATACCAGAACATGCACTTCAAATTATAAGTTTAACTTAACTCTATGCGCGCAAACAGAAGTTTGCCAAACCATGTGGGAAACAACACGTCTTCCACTGAAATTGCTTTGTTAACAAAACAGAAGTCGTAAAAGTTCACCTCTTCTGGGACATCATCAGCCTTCTTGGCAGTGTCGCTGCTTCCATCGTCAAAGTCACTGAAGTCAAAGGCCAAGTCCTCACCAGAGATTCCAGCACCATGCAACGCAGCAGATATCAAATCAGGGAACCCTTCCCCTGCCTGTGAATAAACAGTTGAGGGTGGGGGGAGTTATTTATACATTTCTTTAAAAAGAGAGGATGTGGGTTTTTTTGCGTGTTTTACAGCACTCACAATGGCATATGGTCATGTGAGTGCGCGGGACACATTAAACATTTTCAGTTTGATTTTAGACCACCAAGGGATCTTTAATGTGCGCAACTTGCACACAGGCCCTCCGAAATTTTTCGCCCTCGTCCGAGAGGGCTAGGTGTAGATCTTTCCTACCAGAAAACCAGGGGCGTGGCTGAAAGACAGCAGTAAGAAGGAGCCTGCGGAGCATCAGCCCCCCCCCCCCGCAACATCAACCCTGAATCCTCTAAGGTCATTTCCGGTAAAACGCAGGGGTGAGAATCGCGGGACATGGATTATTCACACCCAGGGTGAGAACAACGGTAACCACTTCCAATATCAAAATGATAAAAGATTAGGCATACTTCTGATTTCAGGACTAGTCTAGTAGAATCTAGATTAGATCTAGAGTCAATTGAGGTCAAACCGGCCATGACTGGCACTGATATATGATATATGCCTATTTTCGCTTCGTGGTTTATCTTTGTTTATCGTAGGATAATTTTGAAGTCCTGCCGAAGTCGTCTAGAAAGGTACTTCCCTCCCATGAGGGTGTCACAATCTGTTATTTTGGTCAGCAAGTGTCAACTTTCAGCTAAGAATCTCCCAAAATATAAGACAAGTCCCTCCCGCATGCTTTGGTGGGTTACAGTGAGTGAAAGGAAGTAGTTTGCTAGGGCTGCAAGGCTTTTGTTATGATAGCTTCCAGGTCAACCGAGAGTTCGAAAGTTAGAACAGGCTTGTCAGACGACCCTGCGAATCACTGGGCGGTGCCCCCCTTTCATTTTAACCCTATAGTGGTGTGGCGGTTTGAGAAAGCACAATTTTCGTGATTTTGCTCAAACTGGCCGGGTAGATTTTCTTGACCTTACAGAGTACAGGGTGATCCAAAATAAACTTTACAACTTGTTTTGTAAATATCTTACCCCATACTGAAGTTTTGCATGTCAGATTTGAGCATAACATTTGGAAGCCAAAAGGAATTTGTCTGATATGTATTTCAGATAAGTCCATTTAATGGTTTTGCTCTTTATAGCGCATTAAAAAAACAACCCATTTTCAACTTTGTCGCCATTTTCATAGCATGACGCACCAGTTCGCATTAGGCCTATACTAAAAGTTGCAACAATCGCGCCATATTGCAAGCTACAGCAGTCTAACAAGTCAATAGAAGTCTGCAGATATTTCCCCCAAAATTTGTTTGCCTGCTGAGTAAAGAGCAGAGAGCTTTTTGTATTGATCATTACCTCTCCACAAACTCACCATCCCTGACATTTCGTAAGTTCTGCGCACGGCATCGAGAGAATGCTTAGGTGCCCCCAAGACAGTTGGTGTCATGAGTAGAAAAGTTCCGTCAGTTTAGATCTAAAGCGAATCAGAACTAAAAAGTTCTTTAAAAAATGACCACTTTGGGTCGAACACGCACCATGCGCAGCCCTTTAAACGCCACCAGAGTGCAGATTTCAGTAGCAGAGTCCCATGAGATGTCTGTCCGTAGACGATCTGCAGCTAGGACTTTCCTACACATCAACAGTCTACATTCTCAAGGCAGATCTTAACCTACGACTATACCACTTTCATCTTCGCAAGGCCGAGATGACATGGATCAGAGCATGGCAATGTGTTTATGACTCCTCGATTGTCTTGTAAAGAGGGATCATTTCCTCGATGACATTTGGTTTAGTGCAAAGCCCATTTTCACCCTGGGGGATATGTTAACTTAAAAAATGCTATCTTTCGGGCACCCCACTCTATTGTCTCTAGAAGCCACTTCTTAGTGAACATGTAGAGTGTATGTGGCTTTAAAAACTCATGGTTTAGCAAGTCCTTGCGTTAGGGCGCCCCTGAACATTTCGAACGATGCGTAAAAAATGTGTCGAGTCTAAAGGAGGGAATGTGGAGCACTGTTTCTAGGAATTTCAGAATGAAATCATTAGGTTTTTAGAACTCTGTAAAAGAAATTAAATTTTGTTTAAATGTCACAGGGATGGAAAATTTTACAAGATTTTTAAACATTGGTGAACTTTACGTTTTGGGGTGCTTTTTTCTTTTAGCCGTTTCCGTTTTCAAAACATGTTTCTTCTTCGTTGAGTTTATATCCAACAAATTCCTTTTGAATGAATTATGTTAACAGTTATAATGCCTGTTCCAAACTACAGCATTCTGGAACAATTTTTGCGCGAGATATTCAAAAAAAAAAGTTGTTAAGTTTTTTTAGGATCACCCTGTATTTTACATACGGAGTGTCTACGTACACGGTAACCGGGCGCTTAGCCTCAATATCTACGTACACGGCAACCGGGCACGTAGCCTCAATATCTACGTACATGGTAACCGTGTACTAGTTTCGTGTGTATGTGTGTGCAGAAGGGGGCTTGAGCTAGGTGCATGCATGGTAATCGCTTCACTCCCTTCATGACCATGACCTGTTTCCCTTTTCACCGTGTAGTCTCAATGTCACATACACGGTAACCTGGCATGTAGCCTCAGTATCTACGCACACGGTAACCAGGCATGTAGACTTAATATCCACGTACACGGCAACCGGGCATGCAATCTCAATGTCACATACACGGCAACCAGGCACGTAACCTCAATATCTACGCACACGGCAACCGGATGTGTAGTCTCAATGTCACGGCGGCGCCCTCTTAGAAAAAGCGAGAACTTTGCGAACAGTTACCCTACTTAGCATACTGTGTGAAAAACAATAAAAGTGACACTTTTTTGGGCTGAGTGAACTATCTCTTGGACCTTACGGTTACCGTGTACGTAGATACTGAGACTAAGTGCCCGGTTACCGTGTACGTAGACATTCCGTTTTACATATTATAGATCTAAGAATAAACGTTTACAGGGGTTGTTAGAACATTACAATGTGAATATGTGTGTGTGCATGAGTGCGTGTATGAGAATGTGTGTGGTGTGAGTATTAATGTCTAGATCTAGTTGTGTATAGATCTATAGCTAGTATAGTGTTTGTGTATGTAGTGTATAAGCTGTAAGGTGGTATGGTATGGTGTGTATGTTATGTATAGGTAAATCTATGTGTATGTGTGTATATTTGAGTGTGTGTGACTGCGTTTTGTGCATGACTGAGCTCTAAAACCCAGGAATTGACAATGCCTGGGCAGATGGGTTGCCTACTATACTATGATAGATCCACCTGGTGCTGACAGTTGAATAACTAATTTTTATTACACTCAAAAATGAACTGGTGATCTCATGGGAATAAACAAAGGAAAGTTGTATTTCCCTTCACCAAGGAGGGTGGCTGGTTTGAGCTCAAAGGTTTCAAGAGTGGCTGGTTTGAGCAAAATGTGACCACATACTTAACATACAGTTTAATATGTGTGTATCCAGGGATAATATTTACGAAGTGACTATTTCTCCGAACATTCAGGAAAATAAAGCTGGACTGTATTTCTCCGAACGGTTTCCAATCTTGAGGTTTTTTTGGTTATTTGCGAGATTAAGGCGTCATCCTTTCATTCTGCCATTTTGCGAGGACTGGGAAGAAGCATTTTTTGCATCAAATTCAATTTCTAGAGCTAAACATTTTTAAAAGCCTGAATATTCAAATACTTCAGTTGTGGTTGGGGCAACGTTCCCGGACTATACTTCATTTGAAAATACCTTCAAAAGGCACTGCGAGAAAACAAGACTGTTCGACCTTGGCAATAACCTATTTTGCATTTAGTCACCCAGCAAAAACTAAAGTCCTTCATGTAAAAAAAAAAATCCCTCCACCACCCCCCACCCGTTCACACCTTACACGGGCCACCCCATTCGCTTATATATAAATCAACAAATCTCGAGGACGGAAACCGTTCAAAGAAATAGAGTTCAAGTTTATTTTCCCGAACTTTCAGAGAAATAGAGCCGGCCTAATATTTAAAGGGTAGAAATATTGCTGGTTCACAGCAAATCGGCCACCTTTGACATTTATTTTGCGACATCACCCTTCCGAGCCCTTCGCAAACAGTCCTATTTGGGCCCGGAAGTTGCTATTCTCACCCGGGGTGAGAATAGAAATACGATCGACCTCTCACCCCGGGTGAGACTTGACACCGTAGGCTATTCTCATCCGGTGTGAAACAAGACCTGTTTTTCCTAATTTCGGGATACTTTCTATCGATGTGGATGGTCAAATGGATAAAGGCAAAGAAAAGATTACGTTATAGCGCAAAAGTAAGCTAATTTTATCGACTACAAAGATGCTATGGCTATTTCACTTTTCGAATCGAGCCGAACTACGCGGGTCGCCATTTTGTTTTGCCCGTAAGTTCTCGCGCTACTCCTCTCTCTCTCCACTGCCCACAGACAAAATTGTACGCTTTTACTACTTTAGTAGGCTAACAGTAGTAATGGAACGTTTGTTCACGGCACAGAATTCTACAATTTTTCTGTTATCACAGTGTAGAATTCTGTGGTTTAGGGTGAACGCAAAATTGGTTGGTCTAGATCTAGGCAATAACGGTGAACACACATCGGGTGAGAATAGCCAAAAGACTCGCCTGCGCTATTCTCACCCGGGGTGAGAATAGAGGTGGCCTTTGGGCCCACAATCTTTTTATCTTTGCAGATGGCTCAAACTGCGTAGGGTAAGAGCTTACTGGCCGGTTTGACCTCAATTGACTCTAGATCTAGACTTCACATATAAAAAGTTCAATGAAGCTTTCAGTTTCATAATTCATCATCTAAAAAATCTAGATCTATGACACAGAGATGCCAACCACAGAAAACCGAAATGAGTATTGGGAAATATGAAAATGTGTATTCCCCACCACCGATGGACCAACTAGTAAAATGTTCAGGGTGTCCAGCAATATTTCCTTTAAAAAATTTACTAGCTCACCAGCTCAAAAAAAGGCGCACACACGTGTACAATATACATGTACCCAGTAAACAAAATGTCAGTGTTCAGTGTCGTACTGGGATCTTGTTTGGCTTAAGTATTCAGTCTTTTAAAATATTTTCCTCCATTATTATATAAAAAATTAATCCTGCTTTGAGCGTTCAGAAGGGCCTAGAACAAGAATTTCGACAATCAAGAACCAGTCTGGGTATCAGGATTCATATTAAGAACTGACATACTAAAATTATTGCTCAAACTCAGTTTTAGTAGAGGTTTTACGGCGCTCGCAACTGCATAAGGTCATATGAGCGCCAGAAGATTAGAGATGTCACAAGAGAGTAACAAACATAAAAAAAGAAGAAGGGGAGATAAAGACGATAGATGTTTGATAGGAAAGAAGAAGCAAACCACACGAGAGCACCCGCAAACCACCCACGTTCAAACTCAGAGAAGAGCAATAACTTGAATGGCTCCAGTAGACCCACGCAGTGTGAGAGTTGTAACAATTGTGGGAGGGCAAGATGCAGTGACACTGAAAATCTGCCAGTCTTGAACAGAAAGCTACAACATACACTGTAGCTATAATTTACTAGATTCTAGATCTATTACCCATCCAATGAAACGTGAACACTTTATTTCAATAACACAGACTTGCAAAGTATGAAGGATCCCCGATTCCCCACACGGCCTGCACCAACCCGCGCTTTGCAGAGAGCTATAATCAAAATTCTGAAATTTGCTTCCAGGTTTTTGTCCTCTGGTGTTGCCATCACCCCCCCCACCCTCCCCCGAGTGTATCTTTTAAAAAAAATCAATAATCCCCTCCCTTATTCCGTAGTCCTATACTTCGCAAGGCCGTTACTCCCACCAAAAACAGTCTTCGCTCACACGATGCCGCATTTATTTAACCCTAGAAGCGCTCAGCGTTTCACCGGAAGTAACCCGCCGCCACGGCCGATCAGTTGTAAACATGGGGGTTTGGCGGGGGGGGGGGGGGGGAACAGCTGAGATACGCGAAATGTATACCTGCTACTGAAAAATGACAATTTACGGCTCAACAGATGATAAAAAGCATATAAAAGCCTATATTTTCTTTAAGCCGATAGAATGAGCCATTCAAAAATGATCAGCGATCAAATAAATACAAACAAAGCCGAGAATGCGATAGACTCAACAATTAGTACATCAGCTATCTAGCGTGTAGTCGCTCAGCGGGACCGCGTCACTTTATCGATCGATATCTCGGCCAAGATAACTTGCAAAGTCATTGGTCACTATTTATAACTTTGGCCTGTAATTGACTACGTCATTTTCCATATAAGGACACTGGAATTTTCCATTGAAAAGGGTCAGCGTCTATGCCCTTTATATAGGGCCTGCGCGCTTCCAGGGTTAAGATGCGAATGAGCGCAGGGTCACGATGGCGAGCCAGACAATCTAAAAATCGGACGACGCTTGTATTTTCTTTTCTTTTTTCCCCACAAGTGACAGCACAGAGAGACGAGTCCGAGTGTTGAATAAATTTTATTTGCGCGGCAACACAGCGTTTACTCTGCACAACCTGCATTGTCACAAATATTCCGTTATCAGACTACCGCTGGCAAACTTCTCGGTGGTAACGAAAGCGAAAGTAGATCTTGAACTTGATTTTCCCTATCGAGCCTCTGTGTCACATGGCCACCTCTATTCTCACCCGGAGTGAGAATAGTACAGGCGAGTCTTGTGGCTATTCTCACCCGGTGCGCGTTCACCCTAAACCACAGAATTCTACACTGTGATAACAGAAAAATTGTAGAATCCTGTGCCGTGAACAAACGTTCCATTACAACTGTAGCCTACTAAAAGCGTACAATTTTGTCTGTGGGCAGTGGAGAGAGAGAGAGAGAGAGAGAAAGAGAGAGAGGAGTAGCGCTAGAATTTCGGGGCAAAACAAAATGGCGACCCGCGTAGTTCGGCTCGATTCGAAAAGTTAAATAGTCGTAGCATCTTTGTAGACAACCAAATTAATTTACTTTTATGTTTTAACATCATATTTTAACTTTGTTTTTGGTCAATTTGATCGTCCACACCGACAGACAGTATTCAGAAAGAGACAGAGAGAGAGAGAGAAGAGGGGAGGAGTTGATTTTGCAAGAACTTCCGGGCGGGTGAGAATAGCCACTTTCGTGTCACATACACTTCCGCCTGCCGCCATAGCCGCCTCTTCGCGTGAAAGTGAAACATACTCTCGGACGGTGAAAAGCTGAACGAATATAATATCACGACCGGCAAAAATGAACTTACTACTGACCTTATCGGACTTGGTTTTCAAATATTCCAGTTCCGCGATACTGAATGAAACTATTTTGACAAAATACGTAAAATCGTACTGGTTGGCATCTCTGATGACAGGACTTTGACAGGAGTGGAAGTGGAAGTCAGACAAGTTGCAAGGTTAAAGTAGGCAGGCATGGATCTAGAATCTAGATATCACACACATGCTAGATCTGTGCCAAATTCATTCTCATTAATAACTAGGCCCTAGATTCTAGATCTAGGCCTAATATTTAATAATCTAGACATCTAAGTTTAACTTTAAAAAGAATTTTAAGAAGTGTAGAGTGTAACTTAGGACTTAGAGTGTCTTAGTGTAAGTAAAAAATCTTTAACAGAAGAACAAATCTAGAACAGCCTGAATGATAGCAACAGTCTTTAAAAAAACATTAGCAAGTAATAAGTACAGACTATACTAGATCTAGAACTAGAGATCAAGAATCCAACAACTGAGGAGTCTGAATGATTTGTTTTGGTCGACTCGTGTTGAGTAAACGAAATCATGCTGTTTTCTAAATCGATAAAAGGGCATGGTGAAAACAGAAAAATTCGTTTCATCCTCCCAAAAATGGGATAATTTGGAACCAAAAAGTATTTCTTTCTATTCGTGGGAACTTGTAAATTAGATTAACAAGAAATACAACCTTAATGTATACTCACAGAATTCTCTGTTTCCATTTTTCTCAAGACAAATTACACTTCACTACTTGTCCGATCGCTGTCGGCCATTGCCACTATATTTACCCATGAGTCAACAGGGCTTAGAAACTTTCAATGCCAGGAACCCAAAATCGTTTCTTTGTAATTCAAAAAGTAGTTCTTGACTACGATAAAATTTCAAATGCTCATATATTCTCAATCATTTTTTATTTTAGACCAAATAATGTATTTTATCTATAGCTGTACTATCAAACAGCTCACTGTTGATTCCAGTTGAAACCAGTGAATTAATAGTCAAATTTTGTTCTATTTCATAATATGGCATAGAAGGCAACCTGGTATTATATTTCAAAATTTCGACGCCTCCGGGACGAGTCACGAAACGAAAGTGAATGCATTGGAATCTAAACAAAACATATCTTACGCTCTTCCAATGAACATATGAGACAATTTCAAGTCTTTGTGTGAATTTGAATCAATTGGAGGTAAATGACAATACAATTTCTAATTTGATATAAACTGGGTCGCCATGTTGGACATCACAAACGACAGCCGACAGGTCAGAGAAGTCTGTGAAAATTCTAGCCTTCGCTTGCCAAGCACGACATGTTCAATATTGAAAATGAATTGGATCATCATCTCGTATCACTATCAATACTATCATCATGGGTCTCAATAGTCGGTAAGATTGTACTTTACCGGACCACTGGTCGGAACTACTTTCGCTATGGCGCCCCTGGTGCCTAGTGGCCTAGTGGCCCGCTATTCTTCGTTTCCGAGCTCCCCTACTCTCTCCTACTCAGTTTTCGGATCAAACGTATTATAGATCTAATCTAGATCTAGATGTAGGTCAGGCTCAAATAAGGGGGGTGGGAACTACCGAAAAAGCACCCAGTTTTCTACGTCCACACTCTTCAACTGCCAGCAATCGACTGACGTCTCTTACCGGGTTTTTCAGTCATCACGACCGTGCCACCGTGCCCTTTGACCCATGACCCTGAC